TCTCTTTCACTGCAACTTGACATCTAACATTTTGGTCAAGGGATTCAGTTAGGTTGCACACAGGATTATACATCATGGTGGAGATTACAGAGCTGCTCTATTCTGTTCAGTAAATCTGAACAGGTTCATTCAAAAAATCAGAAAAAGGTTGAGGATGATCAAGCTGTCTGATGGCACATAGCTAACATAAGTATGTAGTATGTGTGTTATGTTAAAATTTTCCTTTGAAGTACAGAGCACTCTAAATTATTTTTACATCCTAGGCTAGTCTATGCATGTATTTCATTTTTTTCCCAAATACAATAGATTAAGCCAAATGGTATTATCATAGCAGGTCATATTCCATTCTCACCTACACCAATTTAATGTGAAATCAAATAGCATGCAGTTATGTACCAAAAGTATTGTCCCGCTAATTTAATTTTCACTTCCATATTCTGTATTTTAGCAGGGAGGATGATATATAGTCAGGAAGGTAAAATCAATTTAGGCAACCACAGAATGCCAGTGAAAATGCAAGCAGAATGCAAGAGTTTGATAACATTCAGTAAATGTAGTTCAGTATAAATTTGTAAAATGATGCAGTTCATGCAGAATTATTAAAATCTATATATTGCTGAAATCATCACTTTAAGACCTTTCCAAAAGTGCCAGAAACAATATTATATATGTATTTTTAACCTTTATACAGACAGCAGGAGCACTGTCAACCAAATTTGCATCTCATAGCTGGAACCACCACCACTGCCTACTGCATAATGAAGTATCAGAATAATAATGTTACCTTGTCATATGAAAATGTTTTATTTTCAACCTATATAAAGCAAATAATTTCATCATTACCAAATCAATAGCTACTTCACAAATTTGTTACACCAGATCATTTTTAACTGTGGGCTTTGAGCACATACGTTGATAATCCTATGCCTATTTTCAATTACATGAAACATTCACAATGACAAGAAAACGTACTTTGTGTTACCGAGTATATTCACTTTTTTAACAAGAGAATGCATCCTAAACTTCCACTAATAAACATTTATATTCTTCTGATTTGTTGAACAATTTTCTGATTATGGTAAGATACTACCTTTGCCAAAACTTACACATATTTCCTCTACAAAGATATTCCATGATAATCTCCGTGGGAGAAGCTCTGATTGGACTAAGATTATATAGGAAGTCAGGTTTGTAGGAAGATGCAGTAGAAGCTGTTAATATACTGAGATAAGTTTTAAGATAATGAAATGATTATGTGCTAAAAAAATTACCCACTTTTTCAGTTGTAACAGTTTAAGAAGCAGTACTGTTCTAACCAAGCCATGCATCAGACAGATCATTTATAAAAATAGAACAAGATTATTAATCAACCTAAAACATGTTTTGGATTTACAGAACTCTCTTTTCTCCTCCCAAAAATGGTGAAGCTTTAAAAATGCAGGCCAAACAATTTGCCCATATTCAATTTTCCCACTTCACACTGAACAAAGGAAGGTTTATCCTGAAGCAAATTTGGTCCAGAGTCCACAGTTTCTTGCATCATAACTAGTACTCATAATATCACATAATCCCAAGCAAAAATTTGCTTACTATTGCTAAGTGAACCTAAGATCTGTGTGACCAAAGAGAAGCCTGGCAGTAAGTGTAAGGGTTTAATCCAAAGATCATTTAATTTCAATGAATTTTCAATTTACTTAAATGGAATTTGGATTTATTTTCTGTGGGAAGGCATATATGTTCAAGGTCATGAACATGAAACTTGTCAATAAACACATTTTCATGTAAGCTAACTGGAAGTCTAACTCTATTTGGGAGTCTAAGTTTATGTCTTCAGTATCACTTACATTTATACACATTTTTCTGTATTGTAGCAGTGAAACCTCCTGCTATGCAACACAGCGCATAATGTGTTAGTATGAGTCTGCTAATGTGTGAAATAGTATATTCATACCCAACTACTTTTAGAGTCTCTGCTTTTGTTGCTCCTATTCAAATTCTTGAAAGTATGGTAAAAGAGATGAAAGTTTCAGGGTCAAATAGCTTTAGTATAAATCTCCATTTGTGCTAAAATATCTATGCTTTCCAGTCAAACAATGTTTGGGCTACAACGTACCCCTTATTTTGCACTGCCTCTTGAAAAGGATCATCTTGGGAGCTATTATCCCTGAGACAGAATTGTTTGCATGTATAACTCTTGACAGGTATTTTAGCACAACTGACAAAATGCGTAGGGTGCAAACGTATGCTGAAAATTATTTGTCACTGCTTAAAAAGAACTTCAAACTCTTAAATGGATTATGGTGTAGAGTTAGTGAGAACGTGTAATCATTAGGAAGGATCATGATGTTTTGGATGATAGTTCTGTCTAAAAAGATCATGAATTGCATTGAAATTCAACAAGTTCTTTAGACTTCAATTAATTTCAGCAAATAATGATTATTAATCATTCATTCAAAGTAATCTGGTAAATTCAGATTAATGACAATGGGAAACATCTTGCATCCTAATATCATTACATCTGTAATACCAATTTTTATCATTATTTGGGGGTTTTAATTACCAATTGTGTTCTAAACAACAAAGCTTCCATATCCACTGTTGGGAGGAAGTACATGGGTATATAAGAACATGAATAAACTGTGGTAGTAAGTTGACAGGCATTTCATCAGTTATAGATAGCGGTACTAAAGCTGAATAGAGGACTCAAAAAGGAACAAGAAATAGTATTAAGTATGTAAAACATGGATCATACACTGATATTGAAGGTAAAGTGGCATAAAATAAAATAACAAAGTTGATACTGTATTCATTTTCTATTTATTAATACGTTTATGATTGATTGATATAGAACAAAGAGTTTCCAAGTAAAAATGCTTATGTACCTACATGCAGTGACTCTGAAATCTGTACCTTAAGGACAAAGAAAGGTCGCCAATCTCTCCAACTCCTAGTTCTTTGTCAAAAATGGACACAGTTAATGAGGTTTGTTTGGTACAGCACAAATTCTCAGACACAGATAGAGATCCTTTCAATGGAAACAAATTTGTTTGGCTTTACCAGGTTACTTAGCGATTAATAATAGCCTTGAGATGCAGGTCAGAAAGGTCATCGTCCCTGCTTGCCAACACAATCTAAAATGTGCAGCTAGTCCAGCTCTGCAGGCTTTGAGGCCCCAAAATGCTATGCATAAAGTAAAACAGGCTATTTTCCAACTTCTTTTTTCATATTAATAAGCAATTTTCAAGAGAAGGGTGGCAAAATGGGGGCCATGCCACTCTAAGTAATTCATTTATTTTGCAATTTAATCTTATGTTGGAAAAAAATTACACTGCTGCAAAAGCATAGCATGGTGATTTTTAAACGTCAGTGTGCTTCATAAGTAACCTTGTATGAAATATTGTATTAGCAGCCTTTAATAGTAAACTGCAACAAAAAGTATTTCCAGAGATTGTAACAGACCTATACAACTTTTCCAATCTTTATTTCCTTTTCATTCTATCTTCTTCTTTTGCATTTGAAATAAAACATGTTTAATTACTTAATGCTTTACATCGTCTAGTTGATAAAAACTTGAAAGATAGCATGAAACAAAAATTCTACATTGCAACTGCTATTTAAGAATGTGGTTTCATGGTATTTGTATTTATGAAACATTTCTTACTTTTTCAATATTTTGATGAACTAATTTAACACTATGATAATTAGAATATTAAGAATAAGTCTGAGTCACAATCTTAAAAACACTTTCAGGAGCAATATGACTTTCCCATGGGATTATTCATATCGGCAAACTTACTCATGTGCATATTTTGACAGGATGTGACCCTTGTCCTCGAGTCTTATTTGCTACTCATTGAAACAACTGAGACTATTAATGTGGACCTCTCTAAATAATCTGTTTTGCTGGAATATTTGCATTATCTAGATATGCGAATACTATCTTTTGCTTTGCTTTTTATTTTATCATATACACACATGCGTAAAAAAAATAAAGACTAGAATTTACTCACTTAATTAGCTTTAAAGCAATCTAAATGCTTGACTGAATATGCTTGGTGTCTTTGGCACACAGGTTAATTTGAATTAGCCATTTCTTAATAACAAAAATAACAAATGTTAATCAAACTAACCTTTTTTAACTGGGTCAAAAAAATTCCATGCACATGCACTGTTCACAAGAGCACAGAATTCCGTTTTGTATAATTCATTCCACTGTTTGTATAATTTATGACAAGCCTGGCTCTATGAAAAAAAGCCATTGAGGAGAAAATCTCTCTGTCATGAAGTGGCTCGTGAGGCAGTTACATTCCTGTTTCTTGTGGTGGCCTGTACCGTTGCTGTCAGACCAGAGCAGCAAGTGACCTGTGCAAGATGCCTAATGCCATGGAAACTCCTCTTAAGGACATTGCATGCGTAAAAGGTTTACATCCAGTTCTTCTCTATACCTACATTCTCAAACTTATAAAAGGCTCAAGGATTTAGGAGTGAATGTCAACTCTTACCCTGTGTCTGCTATCCTCTCTCATTCCATATGGTCTCCCCTGTTTGCACATCAGGAGGCGCTGCAAGGCACTAGCTGAAACCTAAGTGAACTTTCATTTTTAAATAATTTCAAGGAAAATCACTAAATTATAGTAACTTCTGCTTAGAGAATTTCATACTGAATTGACTTTCAAAGACAAAAAAAGGACATCTATGAATGGTATTTTATCAAGCTATAAAAGTATGTAAGTTGACATGTTCTTCAAAAGAGTAAACAATATGAAGTAATATACTGTTCATAGTTTTTATGGTATTAATCCTGTTTCTTCACAGTTATATCATGTAAAAGCCTGCTGCTGCAGAACTGAAGGAACCATAATTTTGCATTCCAGTGGTGTCAGTACACTGTGAAAACATAATAGTGGAACACTGTAAAGCTATAAAAGGGTTAAAGTAAAATAAAACATTAGCGCATCTTTTATTATTGTAATATAATTAGCAGACTTATTTTATTACAGGAGTGAGCTCCAAGACTATGCAGAAATGAAGGAAAATGAAGAGAAAAGGAAAGACCTAGAAATGAAAGAAAAGAAAAAGAAATACCAAGCCCGAAAGATGCATTACCTCCTTAGCACTAAGCAGGTTGGTATACCTGTCCCTGACAGCTTGTGCAAACCACTTGGGCCCCCAGCCTGACAGAGATAAACTAGCAGGCTGAATGGGACATGACTTGTTGAAAAGATATCACAAAGACACTACTTCGAGTTCAATTTAGTGCTTTTCTATAGGCAAGAGCAGGTACCATGACTACTCTGTGACAGAAGCTTCATAGAGGCAGCATCAGCACTGCTGGCAGAAAGAGTCCAAGTCAGCAGTTTGATCTGCCACTGTGATAACACAGCACGAAGGGCATAACCTCGCTTTAAAAACTCATTTTGACTGGCTTATTGTTGTGTTGTTGCACTTGTCAAGAACTAACAAGTTATTAAGCTGACAAAGGATTTCATTCTTTTTTCCTTTTTTTAATTGAGCTAATGCTTGGATTGGTGCTGTGTTCTGCTTGTTTTTAGGATAGATTGTAAATGCAGGGTTTCAGCTAAAGTTTTTCCTAGAACTGCCTGAATCAGCTTATTTTCATGATTTTTTTCACACAGAAATGCCTCATAAATTTTAAATATTTACTGATTAATTTGTTTTGTATTGATAAAAGTGGTATATTTTTTCAAGCTTTCTTATGTAACTGCTTTACGGACAGGTAAATATGGCAGTAGATATATCTTATAAAAATTGATATGATTGGTAAAGCTTGTGGGTTTGCCTATTTTTAATCCCCTTTTGTGAACTTCTGTAAAAAAAGATTTTGTGTCCATAAATGTTTGGTGACTGGTTGTTCTTTATATGAATAAGGAATTAATGTCCCATCAGGGTATGGTAGTGTTCCTAGTATGAACTAAGTGCTTACTTTTCATAGGTTGTTATTTATAATCTCTGTGTTAGAAATGTTAATCCTAAAGAACACAGCAAAAATACCGTGACACTTGGTGACAGGATATTTAATCTTTCCATCTGATTTGGAGCCTTTTGTGATCTATCCAATAAGAATATAGTTTATATTAACTGGATATCAGTTATGAAAACTCAACTTGTAAATTAAATTTAAGTAAAGCTTAGTAAAATATTAGTAAAAATAGCATAAAATGTTTTCTGAGTAGCTTTTAGACAGTGGCGCCAGTTAATAACTGAAATTAGCTCACAATAATTGATTTGTCTCAGTGTAGATCTAGGATATTATGCATAATATGTGCAGTGTTTTTATATTGTTTTAAACTGTAGGAAATACAGAATTCTTGTTTTGAACAGAACAATTTATGTAATCAAATGCATAACCATTAATAAGTTTACCTGGAGTACAAAATTTGCCTGGTTTAGTGACATTGAGTGGACTACCTGTGGACTAAAAAGATTTTAGCAAACTTGGCTTACTTCTGATGATACTGGCTTAGGAAGCTGTAACATATTTTTAAGGAATGGCAAGTAGTGTGTTATTTCAGCCATCCACGTGGAGAACTGCTGGTAGAGGGCAGCAGTATCTATTACGTTCTGATGAATTTGAGTTTCTAATTTTATAGAATTAGAATTTAACTAGTACTGTTTTGCAGAACAAAAATGTGCTTATTTTTGCTGTCTGAGATGATTTGTGAATATTGGGACTCATAGCCCACAGAATTTTTCCTTTGTCACAGAACTGTGCTCCAAGAACCATCTTCTTTTGCAGGTAGTATATTGAAACATGAATGAATGTAAATCAACACAACACCTACAGACAAACTGAAAACCAGTGAAGATATATATATATGACGTAAACTACTTATTGCAATCAAAGTCTGTATTCCCCAATTGCACATAGTTACAGAATTTGATATCTTGCTAAGAGACACGAAAATTATTTCCGTTCAGAATTTACTGGTTTGATGCTCTGTGTCTGACATTTTACTCTCTATATGCTTGGTCTTCTGATCTGGCTACACCTGCATCTAGCTGTCTTCAAAGGATAGTTATTTGTATTACTGAGCACAGTCCATTCATGTCTCAGTAGAACCAGGTAGTGAGAGTCAACACTTTTGAGTGCATTAAGGAAAAAATATAATTTGCAAGCAGGAAACATATAAAATGAGCAGAGGAGGCTGATGAGCTGGATTTATTGTGAAGTCATGTATTAACTAAAGCCCAATAAGTTGTAGAGATGTTCTGCTAAAGTTTGCTACAATCCCGTCGCTTTCCTGCCATGCATAGTGAGGTGCAATGATGGAGCTAAGCCACCTCATGCAACAAGGCTGCAGATGTTCAGGCAGGTTCTATGAACAGTGTTACAAAATCTGTATTTGCAATAATTGTTTCAAATATATCCTATAGTTTTGAATTTTTTTGTTTTACTATGATCAAAAAGGGTGAGAAAAGAATGTTTACTTATTGACAGAAAGGAATTAAGGAGATGTTGCTCCTCAGTTTTAGTAAAGAAAGTCATGTCAGGTTCCTTTCTCCACACCCTACAAGCTGAAGCCCAGAAACACATCTTGGCAGTGTGTTGCAGGTTAAACAAGGAGATGAACAAACATTGTAGATTTATTGATCACAGAATTTGCTCTTCTTATTCCATAGATTATACTTATACATATGGCCGTGCCCATTCCTAATAGCATTATTTTGCATTTCAAAAAGTAAAATGTTATGTCACTTAGGTGTCATGAATATACAGGGGTGTCTCGTATGTATATAATAGCATGGGCTATGAAGAAGTCAATGTCATATGTCTTTTTCATGAAATAACTTGCTATTCAAGGATTTATTTCTTCCATAAACTGTTACCTTTATAAAGAAAAAAAAACAAAAAGGAAGAAATGAAATCAAACTCTGAATTAGTCTGCATTATTTGTTGTTACTGGTACCAGGTATATATACATAGTCTTATATAGACAGATGTGAGCTTGCTTTGATTACTTTCCAAGACAATCGAGCTATAACATGGGGCTGAACCCAAACTAATTAGCCCTGTTGAGAGCCACGGTATATTAGTTCAAATTAATGCAGTTACACAGCTTCTGGTCAGCTCAAAATATGGGCAGAATAAGTGTGTGTATGCTTTAAAGTCAGGAACAAGGAGTTTGACCTGCCTACAAAATATTATATAGGCATACCTACATTTAAGCTATTTTGTCTGCAGTTCCTCACCTTTCTAGGGAGAAGGTGTGTTTATTAAGTACCATTGCTATGAAAATTACATTCAGGGAGGTTGTTGGATGATAAAAAATTTATGGTATTATACTACACTATTTTTCTGTTTTTTTTGCAAATAGTTGACTGTGTATTTTTCCATAGAAACTTACCCAAATATGATTGTTTCATATTGCTACTTGTAGAAATACATTGCATTTATGCAAGCATTTTAATCCATATAAGAAATAAGCAGTTCATTTGAATAAAAGACTGTTAGTATTTTAGCAAAGAAGTTTAAAGAAAGTTAAACAAGTTAAATCAATAATTACTAGCAGTAGTAATGTTAGTTTGCTGTTATTAATAATATCTATTAAAATATAATAATAATATAATTACTGATTTTCTACTAAAGTACAACATTGTGCATCCTGCCAACTTCAAAACACAGTTTTATGTTTTACGAAAAACCAGCTATGCATTTTTTTTCAGTAGTACCAGTAACATCCATGCAATACAAATATAAACCTATTTGTAGGCATAAGAGTGGGCTTGAAAAAAAAAGAAAGTTAATTTTTATTTCATTTAAATTAATTGCCAAAAAATATCTGGAGAAATAAAGCTTTGGCTCTAAAACTTCATGGTTATGAAATATTGAGATAGTCAAGTAACATCTTGCACACTAGAGCTTCTTTTGTTTGAAGGAAATTACTCGTACATTATTTCTGTAATCATGAAAAATCCCCAACAGTGGTCCATGCCCTTCTTATCACATGTTATGTTGTATTGTCTACTCTGCCTACTGGTTGCTAGGTGCAAGAGATTCCAGTTTAAAGTTTATAACTGAGTAAACTGGACTTCTACAAATCCATGGGCCCCAATGAGATGCACCCATGAGTGCTGAGGGAGGTCACAGAAGTCATTACTAGGCCATTCTCCATCATCTTTGAAAAGTCCTGGAGAACAGGAGAGGTGCCTGAGGTGCATCTGGTGAAGAGCAACCTCATGTATCAGTACAGGATGGAGGCTAAACTGCTGGAGAGCAGCGCAGGGAAAAAGGACCTGGGAGTCCTAGTGGACAGCAGGCTGACCATGAGCCAGCAATGTGCCCTTGCAGCCAAGAAGGCCAATGGCATCCTGGGGTGTATTAAGAAAAGTGTGGACAGTAGATCGAGGGAGATTGTCCTCCCACTCTAGTCTGCCTTGGTGAGGCCACATCTGGAATACTGCATCCAATTCTGGGCTCCTCAGTTCAAGAAGGACAAGGAACTACTGGAGAAAGTCCAACATAGGGCCACTAAGATGCTGAGGGGACTGAAGCATCTGCCATATGAGGAAAGGCTGAGAGAGCTGGGTCTGTTTAGCCTGGAGGAGACAGAGGGGGCATCTCATCAATGCTTATAAATATGTAAAGGACAGGTGTGAGGAGGATGGGACCAGCCTCTTCTCGGTTGTGCCCAGTGGCCCAGTGACAGGTCGAGGGCCAGTGGTCACAAAGTAGAATACAGGGTGTTCAACCTAAACATAAGTAAAAACTTTACTGTGAGGGTGGCAGAGCACTGGAACAGGCTGCACAGAGAGACTGTGGAGTCTACTTCTCTGGAGACATTCAAAACCCTCCTGGTCATGTTCCTGTGATATCCTCTCTAGGTGATCCTGCTCTTATTTTGATTTCTTGTAGTTATTGTAAAGCTCAAAATTATATCATTTTTATCTATTGTATCAGTCATTATTTCATATTTGTCAATTCATAGAGTAAAATATTTTAAATTCAAATTTTATTCAGTGCTGAGGTATTTTTTATTACATTTTTCCTGTCAACAGAGATGGCAATTCATAAACATTACATTGATGGTGTATGTGCCCTTTTTACACTACTGGAAATCAGAAGTTAATGCTATTGAAGTTACTGCACTTACATCAGGTGTAAA